CACCACATCACAGAACTCAGGAGGTTACAACGCTAAAGCTCAGGATGTTACAACACAGCCAACCACCCAGGATGTTGCAACACAAAACTCAGGATATCACTACACTAGATCTCAGGATGTAATCACACAACCCATTACCCAGGTCGTTATAACACAAAAGACTAATGGGCACACAGCCAGCACCTCAACTACTCAGGATGTTACAAAACAGCTGAACAATCAGCAAACAATAACAGCCAACCAATCCACCTACAGCAACTAAGCCAGCACTCCACACCCCCCCACCAATATTTATAGAGAGATGGCAGCTCTGATCACACTTTACTCGCACAAGCACGAAGCCAAAGACCCCAGCCTGAAGATGACGAGTGGGACCTCGTCGAAACGTCGCCAAGATACTCTCAATCTTACACGGGAAAAGACCCGAATACGCCAAGACCTGCATATATATATTCCAATTGTCAATTGTGTCAAATTTGATGTCTTGTGGTATGAAATATGCATGCCTTTCAGTATCACCGAAGTGGTTTCCTCAGCAGCTTTGCTTAACTTCAAGGAATCCCTGATTGAATTAGTCACTAATATAATGGAAGCAATCAGTTGCATCTTTAAAGAGAGATACACATTTCTCACTGGAAATCTTCAACATCTAACAGCATCTTTCAGAGACACTAAAGACTAGACTATAATTCTTATCATCCCCAATATGCTACTCACTTTGTTCCTTTTTAACACACCTAAATAGTATCTGCTTGGGGAAAATCTAGGATTTTATAAAGAGAAATGATAACCTAGCAAATGAGGCTCCCACTTCAGTTCTTTCTCTCTAGCACAGTGGTTCTCAACCTTTTTAATGCCGCGACCCCAACCGGTCGTAAGTCAAGGACTAAACCAGTCGTAAGTCGAGGACTAAACCGGTCTTAAGTCAAGGACTACTCAACCGGTCGTAAGTCGAGGACTTTCCCTGCCTGGGAGCGCCGCGCATGCGTAGTTCCGCCCCCTGCGCCGGCAAAGGCGTAGCTGGCAAGCGGCAGAGACAGAGCAGGCCAACCACCCCGCTGGCCCAGCCCAAGGGAGGTAAGGCACCCACCGGAAAAGGGGGAAAAAATGGCGGACAAAAAAAATGATGGACAAAAAAATGGCGGACAAAAAAAATGGCGGACAGCCTTGCTTGGCGACCCCCGTGAAATGGTCGATCGACCCCAAATGCGGTCCCGACCCACAGGTTGAGAACCACTGCTCTAGCAGCAAAATAACAAAAGAGATGAAACACTAGACACCTTTTATAAAGGGAGATTTGGAAAAGTAGTAAAATAGCTTTTGTTTTTCTCTTTTGTGTCAGGCTACATGTCTGAGGACCAACTTTGGTTCCTGTCTTATCTTCCTCTCCCTGAACTTAAAACAGCTGTTGCATTGGTCTGAAAAGCAGAAGTGAAGACACTTCTTTTTTATGCAACTGCAGCAGGTATGCAACTTAGAAAAAACAAAAGAACCTTGTTTTGGCAATTTTAAAAAAAATGTAACACTGCTGAAAAATACCTAAAGATATTTTTTTATAAAAATAGAAAAATTATATTCCATCACATTTCCATATACTGCCATTCTATTTGAAAACACAAAAGAACAAACTTCAATTTAATGGACCCCTTTTTATGCAACAAAGATTTTTTCTGGACAGGCCCTGAAGTAACAATCAAGTCCAATGCAACTTAATATTTTATGATAATTTTACATCATTCATAATTCATATAATTTGCCAAATGACAGGGTTCCTAAAACAACGCAAATTGAAATAACATAATCTGCTTCATTTATATTATGCAAATAATCTAAATTATAATAAATGACATGATTTGTGATTTAATACAGTTGGGAATAATGGACACACCCTCCCTCTCCCTTGATCTGTTAAATTAAGGTTTCATTGTATATAAATTTATGCAGTCTAAGAAGGAATACAAAACTAATTATTATGGGTCAGTATCATTGTGGGTCAAATTCTTCATGATTATTCTTGTGTAATATTTACATGCTATTTTATTTTTGTGAATCATTAAAAATAGTTTTTGCCTTTGAAAAATTATGAAAATGTTTAAAAATTCTAAAGCAAATCATGATTCTTAACTCTTGTCTAAATGAACTTTCTCCAGTCTGGTTGCTCTCCAGATAGGTGGAACTGTAACCCCAACATCCCCAGACAATATGAAAATGCTACTGTTTTTCTTGCTGAGATTTTTTTTTAAAAAAAAACAAAACAATACTACTGGAAATGAAGAGGAGCCAATTGATAAGAGTTGTAATATAATACTTCTGGAATACATTTTACTTGGGAAATGCTGATCTACACTGATTGCAGATCTCCAAGATTTTATAAAGTAATTTTCTCCATCCTTACCTGGGAATGCTAGATACTGAAAGTAGGATCTGTTGCAGTCAAAGTATGGCTTTAACACAAAGCTATATCACTTTCCCGTAGAAAAATAACTTCCATAAATTCAAATAGAAATTTAACACTGGCTCTTTTTATATAAGACAACATCCTTGTCTTGTAGATGTTTACACTGTAAATAACAATGCTTTATTTATAATAAATATTAGCAATAGAGGGTAACTAAGTGCAATGATTATGTTGCCCATCAATTTTTTTAAGACTATTGTTTCTTATATTTGACAAAAATAAAAGTGTAGTAATGGAAAGGTCTATGGCATGATTGTTCAACCATCTGACTTGCTTGGGACACATGGATTGAAGAGGAATTGTCTTGGGCTACATATAAAATAGATAATATAGTTAGTATATATAAGTAGCAAAGTTCTTTTTTTAATATATATTTTTATTATCTTTTGGGCTACCTTACTAGCTGTCCAGGACCATATGCAGCTGGTGGTCTATACACCTGGTCTACAAGGTATTTGAAAAACACTAACTTAATTAGGGAATCAGTAGGTTTAAGGTTTATTTCCTACCAAACATTTTTCAAAAAAGCAGGGGTGAGTAGTCAGAAAAGCTAATTATATTCAATTCAAAATGAACACGCAAACCCATTCCAAAGGGGGAAAATATTAATTTAGAATCAGATAGGCTTTGTATATTTTAAGCCACTTTCCATCTGCCTTTGTCCCACTGCTGTAGCTTGAGCAAGTGAAACTCAATACTGGGCATATCAAAACCCAGTCCTATTATTCTCTGATCATACACCATGGAGCATCAGGTAGATATAAGAATTTCAGAAGGAAAACAGCTGGAACCCTTAATTTTGTATTGTTTGAGTAAAATGGGCTGACCAAGTGCACAGAACTAAAGTTCTCAAAGAATGAGTTGATACAAAAATAATAATTCAGTCACAGAAGATGAAAAATCAATGAGGAATGTAAAGGCTACCCTGGCCAGGAGGGAAAACACCAGGAATACAAAAAATGTGGGCAGACCTTCAGTTTCCTTGAAGAAGAATTCTGTGCAGGTGTATATTCCCCTATTTAGTCACTCTTGACAGTTTCTAATGCAGTGGTTCTCAACCTGTGGGTCGGGACCCCATTTGGGGTCGATCGACCATTTCATGGGGGTCGCCAAGCAAGGCTGTCCACCATTTTTTTTGTCCGCCATTTTTTTGTCTGCCATTTTTCCCCCTTTTCCGGCGGGTGCCTTACCTCCCTTGGGCTGGGCCAGCTGGTGGTCGGCCTGCTCCGTCTCTGCCGCTTGCCAGCTACGCCTTGGCCGGCGCAGGGGGCGGAACCACGCATGCGTGGCGCTCCCGGGCAGGGAAAGTCCTCAACTTATGACCGGTTGGGTAGTCCTCGACTTACGACCGGTTTAGTC